TTTTGTCACGTGCCCAGCTTCTGCAGCAGTTTGCCACGTTACCGACCGTCCTTGGTATTCGGCGTGCGCTTTCTGCTGTTTGTCATGGACGCGTTTCGCGCCGAGATTGCCCATCGCTTCAAAGACCCCGGAAGTTCAGGTGCGGACGCTTTGGACGTACCTCGAGGGGTGACCATGAAGTTGGTTATGAATTTTCTCGATGAGGTGACCACGTTTCTGCACGGTAATGCCGACTCGATCGGCTCTCTCGTCGAGAACACCAGACCGAACGTTGTCGCCTCCTCGTTTCCCAAGTCGCTGACGACTCTCGCCGTCCACATGGCTGACGCGAACCTCGAAAATGAAGAGGACTATACAAACGACTCTGAGGTTGCTTTTAGCGCCTGTAAGTCACCTTCGTGCGGCACCCTTCCTCAAACAAAGGTAATCTGTTGTCTCGTTATATCCATAGATGCATAATGGTCGGTCTCAGGTGTTTGAAATGTTTCTCTGATGTCGTGAACTTCCGATAGATTTGTTTATACTGCGAAGAGAACTTAGCTTAACTTTAAGCTAATCCGGTTGATGAATCCTTATAGCAACGTTTAGATATTTGTATCCCTATTCCTTCGCCTGATAATACATGTCGTTGATCGCAGCCATTGCGCCTTGTAGACTACAGTCAGCAGGTAGTATTACAGTGAACGACGCCTCTGAAGGACGTTCATGATTGAAATCGGTTAGGGTTTATTGTTCACAGATATTTTATTTCAGTTTATGTATCTTTTGTTAAACTTTTTTATGCATTTCAAATTCTTGCTTAAGCTACAACTTTTATTCCATTAAAGGAAGCACGTTGGCGAACAATAACCCATCTAAAATAAACTAAAATTTCTTAGACAAAATCTATGCTGAGCTAAATTGTTGACCTATATTTTATGCATCTCCTTCGAGAGGATCCGAATAATTTTGCCTTGCCGCGGTCCTCATATGTTGTTTTGTAACGTGGTAGCGTTTTCTTCATGTTTATCTTGTATGTCTTACACTTGAATGGCGAATAACGACTTGAATCTGTATGATTCTGTTAGACTGTACGATTTTGTAGGCGGATGCCCAGCGCTGTTTTGGTTCGTCGTTTTTGTTTCACGTAGTTCAGAGTGAAAGTACAGAAGTTCATAACTAATTGTAGTGGCGATTTATTTGTAAATAAAATTTTTCCGGACTCACATCTTCTGTTGTCTTGGAGTCATTCATACACGATGGTATCTGTCTTGATCTTCAGAAATGATTTGATCTGTTATAGCTGTTAAATAACTTCCACCGCTTGAGCACATATAGCAGGTAGTAAACAAGAAAAACGAAGGCAGTGTGACTACTAATGAAAAGTTATAATCTTGGTTATCTACACAAACACACATTGATCGAAGTAAACAACTCACTTATGGGGTGATATAAACTCGTATAATTATTACATTTAAAAAGCAACCCTGTTCCATAACTTTGAACAAAGATTTTTGCCAAGTTTTAAACCGTTTCGCTGTTGATTTGTATTCTTATTAACCGTTATTGTTGTTTAGTAACGAATTTATCAGATGATATTTGAAAAGGTGAGTGAGAGTTTTCGTATACCATAAAGTTATTTAATCACTGGTCGGCTGATAGTGTTTAATTTAGGTTAAATCTGAATTCTGTGAAAATACGGCAATCGAAGGTGATGTTTCGTCTCAACTTTTGGAAGAAGCTGTCAAGGAATGCCAGACAACGAAGGAACTACTTCGAAGTCCGCTTCGGAGCCCTGGCTATCCTGAGCACTGTTCCCGCGACGACGCTGCCCGTCTGGAGGAACAGCGAGGTATCATATCGACACATGTTATCAACAACAACCTCTCTCTGAATCAGGACTCTTCGAAACTGTTGTGGCTACTGCAGCTGCAGAACGTGTTCGCCATGCAGCTTCCTCGGATGCCGCGCGAGTACGTCGCCCGGCTGGTGTTCGACTATAAACACAAAAATATGGTTCTTGTTAAGAAAGGCGAGGTGGTTGGCGGAGTGTGCTTTCGAATGTTCCCCTCTCAGGGTTTTACGGAAATTGTGTTTTGCGCGATCACTGCAAACGAACAAGTGAAGGGCTACGGAACGCATCTGATGAATCATCTGAAGGACTACCACATCCAGAAGGGCGTGTATCACTTCTTGACGTACGCTGATGAATTCGCGGTGGGCTATTTCCGCAAACAGGGCTTTTCGCAGCAGATCGGTCTGCCGACTTCCGTCTATCAGAGCTTCATCAAGGAGTACGAAGGTGCGACACTGATGGACTGCGAGCTGAACCCAAAGGTGATCTATACACAGTACAGCGTGATGATTCGCAAGCAAAAGGAGCTGATTCAAAAGCTGTCCGAAAAGCTGGTCCCCAGCTACAATCCAGACATTGTGTACCCAGGCTTGCAACTGGATAAAATATCTTCTTATCTCGACATCCCTGGTTTAAAGGAAGCCGGATGTGTGGAGTCTAAGAATCGTCCGGCTCTGATCGACCCTGATCAGTTGACGAGTACGCTGAAGCATATTCTCACTAAAGTGAAAAATCACAAGTCCAGCTGGCCGTTTCTGAGACCCGTCGATCCTGAGGAAGTTGCTGACTATTACGGCTTCATCGAATATCCGATCGACCTGAAAACCATGACCGAGAGACTAAAACGAAATTACTATCGATATCCTGAGCTGTTCGAAGCTGATATGCATCGCATGTTTGCCAACTGCAAGCGCTTTAACGACGAGGATACAGAATATTACAAAGCGGCGCTTACTCTGGAGCGGTACTTTGGCGAACTCTGGACGCATGTTAACTCAGAGCTCTAAAATGTTTTACTGTTTTACACCGTTTTTAATTCCGTATACCTTTAAGTGAAACTATTTCATTTTTCGCTTGGCGTCGTGGCTTTAGGCCCAGTAGGCCAAATTTTTGGGACATGAGTATTTCCAAAGAACACGCCGCAAATTGTGGCGACCATCCTGTCTTGCATAGGAATAGCACAGAAGGCTGACTGCCAACTCGCATATAGCCATCCCTCAATGCCTACTGTAACTTATCGCTGTAACGGAGATCATTCTGAGATGCTGACTGCTAAACCAATTAATTGGAATGTGGCCATTCATATTTATTGTTCAGTATCAAGATTGTGCGATGACATGACTGTAGAATGGTACCTAGAATCATCCCTTCGACGAAAGTTACATAAAACGCTGGGACATTGTGCCATTCGCTACTGAATAGAGTGTAAACCGATTTATTTATGTTCATAGACTTAAAAAAGAAAATGAGTTTGCTACCGTAGGAAGACGGTTCCAGTCAGGTGTTAGAACCAAAGAACCATGCGAAAGTGTCTCAAACGCAGCTAACACAGAGATTAGACAGTAAACTTAAAAAGTTATCCCTTTCCCACTATAAACCAGAATTTGAATGAAAGGCGATTCATAGACAGTATGCGACAGTCCAATCAAGCTAAGCTTTCGCTGTCGTTTTAGCTGTCAGATGTGAGCGCCTCTTGTACCTGCAGGTCGTTATTACCCGCCTGAGAACTGACTATATAATTTGACAACAAACTCGAAAAAAAGCGCGTCATTTTTTGAGCATAGTTTATGCTTTCCATGTTTCAAGTTCAGGATCAGTCGTCGCTGTCGCAGATTGAACAGTCATCAAAATACCGATCGCATGACAGCGAAATATCACGGAGCAAAAATCTTAAAACTGCTACTGTAGCTGCGTAGGCCGACGATGGACATTGAAACAGATAATACGCAGTGCTAATCTGTGCTTACATGACTTGTCGTTGGAAGCAATACAGTCTGAGAAAAAAGTTGGTTAATTATACAATGAAAAGGAAAAGCAGTTTGACACCTGTGAATGCCGATCTTCCTCCCACTTTCATTATTGGGCCATTTCTGGCGCCCCCTATATAAAGTAGTTATCATTGAGACACTGATCTCCATTTTCAAGCCATCAGCAACGAGTGTCTTATTTGAAAGTAAAATCGACAGCAGCTGTTGGCAAACACAATATGAGATCTGTTTCCTTCCTTTATCAACATCGGAACGAAGGAAAAGAGTGAACTCGGAACTTCTTGAATTTGACTGATACATTCTACCGACTGAGCAACCGCGGCGAACACTACATGCAATTGAAGGACCGCAGATTGTTGTCAGGATTAATTCCGACTTAGGAGCATTTACCTCATGCCGCCTACTCTGAATACCGTAATTACTACTAACGGTCAAGAAAGGAACAGTCCAAGCATTGTTACGTGAACAGTGTCAGGAAATGAAACGCAAATACTATTATAATTTCATTTAGATGGTCAAGACATCGCGATGCCATTATAGCACGTCAGAAAAAGATCCGCGAGAACGACGCCACGAATGGTCAAGGCATCAAATGCCTGTCTATCAACCATTTCTCAATTTGTCGCCATTTTCCTGGACAGAGTACAAAGAATGGACAGTTAATAGTAGACCGTTTAAAAAATTTTCTGTACTGCTGTAATCTGTCAGAGTTCAAGGAATGCACAGTTAGCGATAGTTTAAAAGATTTTCTATATTACTGCAAATTATTAAGTCCAACGTATTAAAGTGAAAACCTGCTTTAAACTTTCCATTTCTTTCGTCTTCCGCTGTCGCTCGTTTCATGCTGCAGCCAGTAAAGCTAGGCCTGTCTGCGTTTTGCTCCTATCGTTGAAAAGTGTTCGAATTTGTCTTCATCTTCGTGGCCTCATCAACTAATTCATATTCTTTTCCTCTGAGTGAGGATATGTTCCAATTTCCGACTT